CTGGGATTTGAATGTGATTTTAAAAAATTGTATGCCTAGGGGTAGCTAGATGGCACAGTGGATAAAACTCTGACCTTGGAGTCAGCAGGACATGAGTTCAAATAAGACCTCAGACACTTGACACTTACTAGCTGTGTGACCTTGGACAAGTCACTTAACCCCAACTGCCTCATCAAAATAATAATAATAATAATAATAATAAAATTGTATGTCTATGGGTATGTCACTTAAATTTTTTAAATCTCAATTTCTTCATCTTTAAAATGCAAATAATAATAATACCTATAGCTCTAACCTCACCTGGTTTTATGAAGTAGGTAGAAAACCTTAGGATCAAATGAGATTCACTCTCACAAGAACGATTTATATTTGAAACGAAAAATAAATTGTTTATACTTCCTTTTTTTACAAAAACGTGAATACTCCCCACAGAAGATGGACCAAAAATCAACCAGCAGCAACAGCCCAAACAAACACTGGGACGGGAAGCTGGGATGAACAAAGTGACTGTGCTTGTCACTGGGCATATAAAGAGGTTTGACCTTTGAGGGGCTTACCATCTACTTCATAAAAACATAACATTTTAGAACTATAGAAGGGACCATAAGAGTTCATTTGGGCTCCTCATTTTAATCCCAAGAAATCAAAGTGCAGAGGATGAATGACTTTTCCAACACTCTACATGTGAATAAATAGTTAGATGGATGGATGGATGGATGGATGGATGGATGGATGGATGGATGGATGGGTGGATGGATGGATGGATGGATGGATGGATGGATGGATGGATGGATGGATAGGTGGATGGGTGAATGGATGGATGGATGGATGGATGGATGGATGGATGGATGGATGGATGGATAGGTGGATGGGTGAATGGATGGATGAATGGATAGTCAGTAGACGACTAGAGACTAGAATTCATGCTTTATTGATTCTTTGTCCAAAGAGATAGGACCCTAAAGATAATGTTGCTGTTGTTGGTTTGTTTCAGTCATATCCAATTCTCGGAGACCCCATTTGGGTTTTTTGTTTTGTTTTGTTTTGTTTGGTTTGGTTGGTTGTTTTTGTCAAAAATGTTGGAATGGTTTGCCATTTCCTTTTCTAGCTCATTTTACAGATGGAGAACTGAGGCAAACAGGATTATGTGACTTTGCCCAGGGTCACATAGCTAGTAAGTGGCTGAGGCCAAATTTGAACTCAGATTCTCCTGACTCCAGGATCAGCATTCTATTCACACTGCCACCTTACTGCTCAGGATGATGCTAATTATAGTAGGTTGATGATAGTTATAGTTGTAGTCATGGTAATAATTATATATGATATTTTATAGTTTCTACTCAACTTTTTATACATTCTTATTTTAATCCTCAAACTGTCAGGAAAAGTATTACTAACCCTTTAATGTGTATTTTTGCTTCTCCTTGTACTTTTAGCACAGTGCATGGAACACAGTAAGCACATAATAAATGCTTATTAATTGATGAGAAATACAGATATCAAGAATGACCTGCTCATTGTCACACAGCTAATGGAGTACCAAAAAAAGAGTGCCATATTTGAAGTCAGGGGACCTGCCTTTGCACAGACTGTCTCCCAAGTCTGGCACGCACTCTTTTCTCACCTCTCTGGCTCTTGGGAATCCCAGAGGCCTGTCAATGCTCACCTTGAGTGCCACCTTCTCCTCTAGGCCATGGGTGACTCTTCTCTTTGTTTCATGCTACATGCATGCCATAGCCTCCTGCTTTCCTCTGGAGTTTCTTTTAAGAGTATTTACTTCTCCATGTGCCTTTACCCCACAGAAAAATATAAGTTCTTTGAGGGCAAGGACCATTTAATTTTGTCTTTGTTGCCCCAGGACTTAGCACAGAGCTTTGCACATAGTAGGTGCTTAATAAATGCTTGCTGCCTTGAAATGAACCTACCATCTTAGAGCACTCTATGTGCTTACAAAAAGATAACTAGAAATAGAAGGGAGCATATGTTAAGTGCCAAGTGAATGGAATAGACACTGTTCTCGAGGAGCTGAGAGGAGGTTTCAGTTGCCAAACTTTGGGAAAGCCAAATTATGCACTATAGAAGAGATGGCATTTGAGCAAAGGCTTGAAGGAACTAGAGGACTTATGTAAGGTACTGTGGGCAGGGAAAGGCACAGAGTTGGGGAACTGTGATGTAATTTAACAAAACAATACATTTATATAATAATAGCTCTGCAAAATGCCTTCCTCACCTTTCCCATATTACATATGAAGAAACTGAGGCTCAGACTATACTGGATAAAGTATTGGACTCAGAGACTTGCCTTCTGCTTTGAGTTTTGAGAAGCACTTTCACATTTTCTAGACTTTAATTTTCTTTACATCTAAAATGAGGGAGGTAAAATTGTCAGGTCCCTTCTGTGGTTCTCTCATACACATGCCATGTTTAGCAATAGCCCAAAGATAAGAAGCTGTGTGATGCAGGGGATTGTGGGTCAGATTTGGAGTCAGGAAGACCTCCCACCCTTTGTATAAAGTCTAGGAGCGAAGGGTAAAAGAGGTTTGAAGTCAGAGGTCATGAGTTTCATTCATATTTCTACCTCTTTCTGCTTCTGCGACCTCAGACAAATCCCTTTTCCTCTCTAAGACTCAGTTTCTTCATCTTTCATATGTGGAAAATAGTATCTCTAGTGCCTACTCTATTGTAGTGAGATTCAAAAGAGATTATTTGTCCATCCATCTGTCCATCTAACAAGCTAGCTAGCTAGCTTAGAAATCTATTGCAACAGGGGTAGCTAGGTGGCACAGTGGATAGAGTACCGACCCTGAAGTCACGAGGACCTGACTTCAAATGCGGCTTCAGACCAAACACTTGACACTTACTAGCTGTGTGACCCTGGGCAAGTCACTTAACTCCAAATGCCTTAAAAAAAAAAAAAGACATCTATTGCAATAGTTCAGGAGAGAGACGACGAAGGCCAAGCAGCGGTTCCCAAACTTATTGGCCTTCAAAAAAATTACTCAGAACCCCCATGGAAATCTACTTTCTTTAGCCTTTTAATAGATTTTTTAAAAAATTTGCATCATTAAAAAAATACTGCCTCCCTGCATCATTCCAGTGGTCCCCATAAGGCGGTATTGCCCACTTTGGGAATCTATGGTAAGGTGGTAGTTGTGTAATTGGAGAGAATGGATATATGTGAGAGATTTTGTAGTGAAGAAAACTACATGATTTTGGCAACTGAGTTAAAAATGACAACATAGTTGTGAACCTGAGTAGCCACAAAGCTGACAGTGTCCTCATCAGGAATAGGGAAGTTTGGGTGATGGGAGAATTTGGAGGAGAGATCATGAGTTCTGCTTTATCCATAATGAGTACAAGAGGCTTTTGGGATATCCATTTTGAAATGTCCAACAAGTTGTTGGTGATGCGGTGATGCTAGAGGTAAGGAGAGATTAGGCTTTAATAAACAGATCTGGGAGTCATGTACCAGAGATGATCACTGAACCCAGGGAAATTGATGAGGTCACCAAGCAGAAGAGTAGGGAGAGAAAGGAGAAGAGAGCCAAGGACAAAGTTCTGGGGAATATTCACGGTTAGTGGTCATGACCTGGATGAAGAACCAGCAAAAGAGATTAAGAAGTACTGATCAGACACGTAGCAAGAGAACCAAGAGGAAACCGAGTCATGAAAACCCAGAGAAGAAAGTATCAAGGATTATTATTATTTATCATTATTTTAATGAACAAACAAATAATCAGTGCAGTTTGGTGGCCACACAGAGAGTCTGGAATTTGAGCTAAAGCAGAAGCAAGATTGTTTAGAATCTTTAATAGCACAGTAAGAAGTTGTTCTCTATTGAAATACCGGCCCATTGAAAACAAAGGAAGCTTGTTGGGTAGCAGTGACTCCACTCAGTGAGGTCAGTTAGGGAGCTGTCACAGCAGTCCACGGGTGATACCTCTCGAGATACATACAAAATGAGATGTATATATATATATATATTTTGCCAAAGTAGGGATATTGTTTTAACTATGTATATTTGTTACAAAAATTTTTTTCTTTTTCTTTTTTCTAATAGGAGGACAAGGCCAGAAAGATGTCTAGACAAGCAGAAAGTTCTGAAAGCTACAAATGCATTTTTATACAATTAAAAAGAAAAGGAAACTGTATATAAAAACTCTTTACTTTCATTTATAATCCTCTTTTTTCTATTTGGTGCTTATTAAGAATAAAAATGAAAATAATTTTTGAAAACACTAAAGGAATAGTACAGGAAGACCTGGACTGAGGGTGTTGGAACAGAAAGAAAGGAATGGATCCTACAGAAATTATAATAGCTGAATTTACAGGATTTAGGTTCATAGAGTTGCAGAGCTATAAGGTACTTTGAGACCCTCTAGTCTATTTCCTTATTTTTCAAACATGGAAACAGAGGTCTAGAGAAGTTAAGTGATTTCCTTTAAGGTCACACAGCCAGTTAATAGTGGACCCAACATAAGAAGTCAAGTTTCTCGACTCCCAGTCCAGTGCTCGTCCACAAGACCATGTTGGCAGGTTGACTGTGGAAGACAGTGGTAGGACTCAAGGATGATACTGGGGTTTAGCATCTGGGGGAGCAGGATATAGACTGAAACTGTTCCTCCTTAGCAGGACAGAGAGTCCTGTCCTTGGAGCCAAGAAATCCTAGATTCAAGTCTTACCTCTAAAACATTCTGGCTGGGTGATACTGAACAAGTTGTGTAACCTCTCAGAACTCTGAGAAACTGCCTTTATAAGATTACAAACTGCAGAGCACCTATTGACCCTTATTGGTAGAGAGAATTTCCTTCTCTGGGTGCTCTTTATAAAAAATAAATTAATGGTTCAGAACCTATCTAGTCCCTGGAAAGCTCAAAGCAGGAGCTTATATCCAGCAGGGGATGAGGGGTATGGGTAGAGATAAATCCAATTTTGAACTCTAAGGATCAACTTTATGGAAGCTCAGGTTCTAACCATCCGATGACATCGTGATTACTTACCACTGGATACACATCTCCGGGCGATTTCCCACAGAATCAGGCCAAAACTGTACATATCAGCCATGATGTAGGACTGAAAGTGGTTCCGATTCAAACTCTCATCCAGCACCTCCGGCGGCATGTAACGTTTGGTGCCAACTCGAGTGTTGGGTGGGATGTCGACTTCATTGGTGTCGCTGAAGGGAAGGATACAGCACTGACATCAACACAGATGAAAAACGCGGGCAAAATCAACTTACAGCTAGGGCAAGGTCAAAAAGCACTGCAATGAAACACTCGGGAGAGGAATATCTTAGTGCGTGAACAAGGACTCTGCTTTGAAAGGCTTACTTGGCTGAGGCTATATGAAGTACTTAAATTCAGGCACCGAAAATATAAGACTCCCTAGGGATACAGCGGGTAACATTTGGGATTTCATTAGCATTAAACTAATGCAGTTGGTAACTATCAAATATTCATTAAATGTTTAAAAACAGCCTTTCTCAGATTAACAATTTAGCAGATTTGCTATTGAAAGAGGATTTAGGAAGCCAGAAAAAAAATCTTCTAGTTCTTCCAAACACTCAGGAAAAGCATGACTGAGAATAGGGCCCAGATCTCATTCCAATCCTAGAATTTTATAGCGGAAGGCTCTCCGGTTTTCATCTGGTCCAATTCTTGTGTTTTTACAGAAAAGACAAGTGAAGTGTTGAAAGAAAAAAAGTGACTTGTTCAAGCTTACACTCTTGGTTTAGGCAGAACCGAGCCTAGAATCTAGGTTTCCTGACTTTGCATTCAATTTCCATAACATAGTCTCTGTTACATATTTTTTCCTAAGTGTTCTAAGGATTCCTCGCAAAAATGTAAAAATAAGTGCATTGTTTATGATTATTCTTTTACTTCTGGACCTCTGATTTTTATCAGTGTCGGGAAATTCTAGGGAGGAAATTCTTTCTATCATTGCAGCTCAGAAACTATTCTACACTCTAGTCTTGGCTGTCTAGGGGACTGAGAAATTAAAGCACTTGTTCATGGTCACACAGTATTAAGAATCAAAGGCAGAACTTGAACCTAGGTCTACCTGACTGATTCTAGTTCTCTCCTACCAGATATACCAACTTCCCCATACCGAATTAATGGGGCTACGTCATTGGTAATGATTTCATTTCAATTCAATCTGACCTTGATCTTCTAAAAAGGAAGATGGACTTGAGTCAAGAAACTTTGTTTTGAATCTTCTTAGACAATACTAGTTGTGTGACCACAGTCTTGGGGTTTCTGAACCCAAGCTTCCTCATCTGTAAAATGGGACAAACGAGTGTCTTACTTAATTGCCGTAAACAAATCATTTGGAAAACCGTAAGGAAGTAATTATTGAATAATTCACATTCAATAAATAAGTATTTATAACAATAATTTCATTTGAAGATCACTGTGCTTAGGAATGGAGTTAACATAAAGTGGCCAGAGAATTCACTGTTGTTGTTTGTCCTTCATTCTCAAAGAGGACCATGACATTAGGAAGGAGATGCCATGACTTACAAGTGAACTGGATTTAAATGAGAGAGGGCTGTGCAAAGTCACTAGCCTCACTTTCTCCTCCAGAGCCAACTGGGCCCAGTGGCAAAACATAGATCAGGACAACTGGAGATGACTCTGCAGGGAGTTCATTATCTTATAAGGGTCAACACATACTTACTTTTTATTTCCTTTTTTTTTTTTTTTTGGTGAGGGCAATTGGGGTTAAGTGACTTGCCCAGAATCACACAGCTAGTGAGTGTTATGTGTCTGAGGCCGTATCTGAACTCAGGTCCTCCTGACTCCAGGGCCAGTGCTCTATCCACTGCGCCAACTAGCTGCCCCAAACACATACTTACTTCAAAGATTCATGATTACATCAGTGTAAATTCTCCATAACCTCCCCTTTTTTTAGTAGCTTTATTAGGTTGTTAGCTATCCAAACTCCATCACCTTCTGGTCAACCCTCTTTTGATCCTTTCCAAACTTTGCTAAGCTGGCCCTCAAATAACTGACAGAATCTCTCACTGAGTACCCTGCGCTGGAAGCTGGTCCAACTTGGCCTTCTAAGGTCCTGAAAGCTTCCAAAGTTTGAACTCCATAGACATGGGCTCATGATCACCCCCATTGCTTGGTGAAGGCTCATAAATGAATATATGCAATTTTAAAGTGATATTATGTAAGTGCATGAAAAAAAAGTGAAAAGTGCTTTGTAAGCACTTCTCTAGGACCTAGGAAGCATGGGTTGGATTTCAATGAAGGGAGAGTTGACCAAGGGGAATGATAGTTGGAACAAAGACCCAGAGGGAAGCACAAAGAGAACAAGTGGAGGGTATACACTCCTTTTGACTGAAGTATAGAGTGCCCGGTGGGGAGAAGTATGACATAAGCCTGGAAAGGTAGAGAGTCTAATGCCGCACTAAAAGGTTTCAACTTCATTCAGCAGGCCCCAGGAAGCCTCTGAAGGACTTTAAACTGAGGAGTGAAAGGACATCTTCGGATAAGGCATATTCATTTGGCGGCTTTGTGAATCACGGATTGAAGAGGAGTGGCGAGTGGAGGTAAGAAAATCAGAAAGGGCTAAATCATAAAAGTATAGATTTTTAAAAATACACCATTGATTTGACCTCATTCAATAGATCTATGTGCTTTTGCAAATAAGATCATTGTTTGTAGTTTTTAAAGGCAAAAGTTTGAAATCTGAATTTTTATATCTACCAATAATTTCTACGTAAGTCTGAACTGTTTACATCTATTCATAAATTTTAAATCCCATAGCTTTATTCCTAAAATATCTTCAAAATCTGTTTCCCACCAAAAGTTTCAACTTTTCTAAATCCCCAAAGTAAATAGTTATTTCAAATGATATACCATTAGTTTTTGGAATATTCATCACTTTAAGCAAACAAAATATGGGGGAATGTCTTTGTCTTTACAGAAACTAAAATATAAATGGAGAAGAGTCAAGTAAAATAGCTTGTTCAAAGATGGTCATAGCCCTCTGGTCCTCTTCTGGCTATAGGACAGGGTACTGGAAAGTGAATATATACCACGAAGAAACGTGATTAGTGCCTGTATTCAAATACTGACAGAGGGTGGGTAGATGGAGTTAGTTATTTATTGGACTAACTCTTAAGTAGAGGTTGTTAACAAATCTTCCTCTCCTCTGTTACCTTTAGTCTTTTCAGTTTTTGACTTCGAATCCCAGGAACTCTGCTACCTCCTACCTGTGAGACTTGGGAAAAGTCACTTTGTCTCTCTAAACTGTTAAGAACAGTGATTTACTGAGTTACTTTAATGATAATTTCACCCTTCAAAAGATGACAGATCCAGAAGTTCTACCCAGGATATGACTCTTACCATCCGAGAGAAACTGATTGCTTAGTGGAAATGCCAGGAACGTTGGAGGGAAGTGACCATTCCTCTTAGAGTTTGGGATAGAAATGGAGAAGAAAGCTGGGCACAGTGGAAAATGCACCAGAGATTTTGATAAAACATATTTCAAAGGGTTCAAAGAAAGATAGGTTAGACATACAGGGTAAGGTAAGACAGTGTAAGCAGAATGGGAAGTGTTCAGAAATGAAATCCCAAAGACACCAAAGAGAACAATTCTGAGAAAAGGAAAAGGAAGATTTGTCCATAAGCATTAAAGTGGATGAATTGGGGACTTGACAAGCAACTTAAATTTTTAAAAAGATAGGTAAAGAATATGGAAGTAAGGGCAGGCAATCTAGGCAGGCTTCCCATTTGTTTTGTCTCAGTGGAGGGACTTGCCTCTTAAAAAAAAAAGAACTGGGGGAAGGCAGAGTCAAAATGGCAGAGAAAAGGCAGGGACTGCCTGAGTTCTTCCACAATTCCCCCCAAACAACTTCAAAGAGAGCCTCAATGAATTCTAGAGTGGCAAAACCCACAAAAGCACAAGGTGAAGTAATCTTCTAGCCCAAGATAACTAAGAAGGACTGCAGGAAAAATCTGTCTCGCTCAAGTAGAATGGGAGAGCAACTCAGCACTGGCAGTCTCTGGGCAAGGCAACCGGAAGTCTCTAGCCTCAGTCTCATCTCAGTTTTCTTTGAAAAAATGTTAAGATTCTGATGCTGTTTGAGTAAGTAGAAAGAAGCACCAACATCTTCTTCTGGGTGAACCATCACAGAATCACAGCATCTTCATGAAGTGGGGCCTGAGTTGGACTGACTCATGTTTATTTAGACTCTAGAATGAAATGAATCTAAAAAGACATATTTTTTTTCCTTCTAAGTAAGATGGTCAAAATGATTCAGAACAACAAGGAAAAAGCGAAGGGAAGAAAGTATTTATTAAGCACCTACTTTCTGCCAGGCACTTTGCTAAGCACTTTATAAGTGTCTCATTTAGTCTTCATAACAACTTTCTTTGGTAAGTACCCTTATTATACCTATTTTAAGGTTGAGGAAGTTCAGGCAAACAACTATTAAGGGATTTGTCCGGGGTCACATAGTTATTAAGTTTCTTAGGTGACATTTGAACTGAGGTCCTTCTGACTTCAGGGCTAGCTCTCCATCCATTCTGTCACATAGATCCCTATAACAGCAGTGTCTTACACTAAAAAGAATTAAAAACTGTAGCTGAATTAGATCATGTCGGGTAGGAAATCCACACTTGTTTATGTAATTTTTAAGGGACTACATGAGGAGACTGGTGTGGGTAAAAAAATAAAATAAAATAAATAAAATAAAAAGATCTGTATAAGAAATCTTAGACCTTGTCTACTGCCTCTGCTGCTGTGCACTTTTAGGTATCTCCAAGTAAAATCAAGATAACGAATAAGTTTTTTGCAGAAAACATAAAATGGGTTAAAATTCTGAAAAAGGAGTCAATATACTACATAGGTACTAAGACTATTTTTACTGAAACATAAACCATACATTCTCAGAAGTTAAAACACTGAGAAAAAGTGGGTGAAAACAGAAGAAACCAAAATAAGGAGTGTCACAAGTCAATAAGGCTGAAAACTACACCCAAACTTGAAAAATTACAGACATTTGGAGCTGAAAGAGACCACAGAAATCATGTAGTACAAGCCCTTCATCTTATGGATGAGAAAACTAAGGTCCAAAAAGGATAGATGGCTTACTCAAAGTCACACTGCTAATCAACAGCAGTATTCAACACAACAATTAGATTTGTACATCCAAGTGTGTTACTCTGAAAAATGGATTGTTGTGTTAGTAGCAAGGTGTGTTTTGGTTAAAGGAATATTTCTTCACCACCCAGTCCCAGGGTACAGATCTATGTGATGATTATATAAGGGTGAGTTCCTGCCTGCAAGATGAATCCATAGTGCCTCACAAAATAATAGTGGAAACTTTTGGAAGCCACTTAAAAATATCTTCTTATAGGATCTGAATCCTATAAGAATCCTATTAACCTAAGTATAGGTTAATACTTAAAAATATAAAACAGATTTAACTTCCTGAGATATTTTAAGATCTGAAAAGAAGGGGGCTCTTTAAGCTTTGGTGTTAACCATCCTGATAATTACTTCTTATTTCCTATCTACCCAAAGTCCCTGGATGTGAAGATTCACCCATTTCCTCTTTGTTTTCACAATTTTTAAAAAGAGCCCTTTGTCTCTTGTCCCAGCCATCTCTTCACTGTCTTGGAAACCCCAATTCACTGAGCTTTTCTTCAGACTGTGCTTTCCAGCCTTTTAGCCACCGTCATAATTTTCTTTGGAATGCTTTTCATACTTTCCATGCTAGTCCCCAGGTAGGATTCTGAAAGCATGGTCCTCTGCTGATGAGAGGAGGACAAGGAGGAATTACAGAAAGAGAATGAGGAGGAAGAGCAGGAAGAAGAGAAGGAGAAAGAAGAGAAGAAGGAAGAGGAGAAGGAATTGAGTGTGACCTCTAACCCATAACTCAGTTCAGTGATGAATACAGCAAAGCTATCACTGACATAAAAACCTTTTTAGTTGCAAAGAAATTTATCTTAAATAAAAATGGAAATCTACAAAACCTGTCATTACTTGATGAAGTGCTGAAAAAAGGACCCCCAAAGTATGCAATCTGTAAAAAGTAAGATGAGATATATAGGAATGAACACCAACCAGCTGAGGAGCAGAAGGAGAACAGGACGCTGGTCCATATTCTTGCATAGACTCCCTATAAGACCTTTGACTAGCCATACTCTAAGGGGTTGGAGAAGATTATCCATCCCTAAGGTACCTTCCAAGCTTAATATTCTATGATTCTAAGACCCCTGTCCGGCCGCTTTGATACTAACCTAATAAACTTAACTGCCAATCCCAGATCAGCGATACAGCATGCTCCATTTTTCTTCACCAGGATGTTCTTACTTTTCAGATCACGATGAGCAATTGCTGGTTTTCCTTGAGTGCTAAAGATCTCTGTATGTAAGTGGCATAGACCACTGACTGAAGAATAGGCCAACTTTAACATTCCTTTCGTATCTAGGGTAGTGGACTTCAGATAATCATACAAGGACCCATTCTCATGGTAGTCTGTGATGAGATATAGTTGGGTCCAGGACCCTGTGCCTTTGATATCTGCAGCAATAAATCCTAAAAAGGAAGGGAAAAAAGAAAAAAAAAGAAAAAAAAGTTTGGAGATTGATATTTTCTCAATACTTCCAACAACATGATGCATATTGTTTGAGCTCAGTAGGAACCATGGGTTACTTGTGTTTCACATCTACTTCTGGTGCCTGATTGAAGCTATAATACTATTAAGTTACTAATACCAAACAAAACCAATTAAAATAAGGAAAGGAATAAGTAAAATATATCATGTGCAGTTAATCGGCAATTTTTTTCTAGAGTGTGCCAATTTGTTTAGGTTATCGGAATTACTATAATTCATGCAGAAGAGCCAACATGGTTTAATCAAGAACAGCTCATACCAATCTAATCTTATAGATAAGGGGAAGCTATAGATATAATTTGGTTCCATTTTAGCAATTATGATATTCTTGTGGAAAACATGGAGAGATGGGTGCTAAATGATAGTACAGTTAGGAAGATTAGGAAATTGGTTGAATGACTGGATCCACAGATTATTCAGCTATTAATGGTTTACTGTCCACTTGCAAAGTCTTCAGTAGAGTGTCCCAGGAACCTAGTCTTGGTTCTCTTCTGTTTAACATCTTTATCAATGACAAGAGATAAAACTTGCAGATGACAGTCTCAGTACATCAGTAGAAAGCACATTGCTGGTAAACATAGATAACACTGGTTAACAGAGTCAGGATTCAGAAAGATTTGACAGGCTGGAAGGTTGAATCAAATCTAATATTATGAAATTTAATTACCTTTATCAGAGATTATCTTTAGTTCATGGCTCAACAACAGTAAAGCAGAAGTGCATGTAGGGCTCTTGGTGGATTGTACGCTCAATTAGAATCGGCAGTGTGACATGACAGCCAAGAAATAATTTGATCTTAGACTACTTTAAAAGACATAGCATTTGGTATCATCACATTGTACCCTACTGTGATCATACCAAGTGATGTGTTCAAATCTGGGCATCATTTTTTAAGATCAGTGAAAAACTGGAGAGTACTCAGAGTGGGGCAAGTGGGAGGTTGAATAGTTTTGGAGTCCACTAAATATGAATCCCATTGATAAATATTCAATCCCATTGAAGACTTGGGAGGGAACTTTGGGGTAGGGTGGGCAGGATATCTATTTTTAAGTATTAAATATCTGTGTTTAAGTATTAAAAGGGCATTCACGTGAAAGAGAGATTAAATGTGTTCTTCTTGGCCCCAAAACACAGAGCTAGAAGCAACGTGTAGAAGTTATACAGATATAAATTTCACTTGGAAGAGAAACTTCCTAAGAAGCAGAGCTACCCCAAAATGGAATGAGACTCCTCCTTAGTGGTGTTCTTTTAAGAAAGGGTTAGTAGACTGATAGGGTTCTTTTTCAGGTAGAGGTTCTCTTCAACTCTGAAATTTTATGATTCTGTGAATAGAACAAAAATTCACTAAATAAGGACTAGACAGAATTAATCCATCTAACCAAACTAACCCATGTAGAAACACCTTTCTGTGTAAAATTTGACCAGATCATTTTAACCTAAGATGATTAAGAAGAAAATGAATTCTTGATAAAAACAAATTATACAGATAGAATTCATGAATTGTTAACTAGTCATTATGGACAGGAATTGCTGATGCATTCTGTAGCTGGGCCCAGTATTCAACATGAAGACAGAAGGCTGGATCTCATTTGGGAAACTGCCCAGCAGTTTCATTGATTCTATGTTACTCCCTTCTTCAGAACTTATCTTTTTAACGCCAATATTCTCCTAGTGCTGTCATATGGATGTGAATCACAAAATGCCACATTCTCACAATCACGCAAGAATCAAAACTGTATAGGGCACAACGGGAAATGCCAACTTTGGTTTGTGCAAGAGAAGTGGTATGTAAAACACAAAGATATTTATTTCACAGGGAAAGGAAGTGATCTGGCCATATATTGAGGGCAAAGGGTAACAGATGTTCAGCTCAAGTGCTACAATGGGACCCTTGAAATAGCTCTCTCCACTTCCAGGAGACCTTCTGTGGATAAATGTGGACTGTAATAAGAAGATATGGCATGAATAGGCTATAATCCATACCAATGAAGGAAATATCCATCCTAATGAGATCACTGATCCCCTAAATATAGAAAAAGACATTTTGTATAATCTTGCCTAACTTTGAAAAAATTCACTTCTGTTAGAACAGTCTGATGTGAGATGGGTCGGCGATAACCTAAGCAGTAGTGGGGATTTTTAATTTCCAGTCTCCCAAGCAATTATTTTTCTTAAAAGATTCCTCCTCCTCTCAGCCAATATCTGGAAATACTCTGACCATGTATTCTGAGGACACCTTGCACTGCAGGACTAATTGCCTGGCCAAGGCCAGGAAGACAAGTAAGGACAATGTTTCTAGGTAGTTCACATAAGTTGAATCACAAACAGTACTAAAGAAAATTTTAGAGCTAGAAAACAAATGCAGAACATTTTTACACTGATTTTTACTCACCCAAAATATTTTCATGCCTCATCAAGACGGTCTGATATATTTCTGTCTCTCTGAACCAGCTGGCTTCCTCAGTGGTGAAGAACACTTTCACAGCTACCTTTTCACCACGCCACTTTCCCATCCAAACTTCCCCATAGCGACCTTTTCCAATCTGTTTGACCATCTGAATCTGCTTAGCTATAGTCCTTTGGACCTATTAAATCCCAAAATACACTGTTAGTATATTCACAGCACAACATATTTGTTTAATCTCTCTTGAAAAGAAGCAATGACTACATACTTGGGCTGCTGCTTTTCTTTATATTTCAAGATAACTTTAAATTATTTCTATATTATGAGATAGTCTTTTATCTATTGATATTTTATTGGGGGAAAAACTTGGAATTAAAGGTTTAACACTGACCAGGAAAATAGAAAAAAAGGCTTTTTAGCATTTATTAAATGCCTACTAGGTACAGGCTAGGCTATGGCAGTCTTGCTATCAGTTCTCTTAGACAACAACTACTATATCACAGCATCTTGCACGAGGACCTCACGAATATTTTCTCATCATCACCAAAACCACAGCTTCTTCTTTTAATATGTGATTTATATTTGAAATACCCACTTTATTACTCAAGATGGCTGCCTATTCCAACCCTACCCCCTTTGTCACCCTAATTTAGAATAGGCTTAGAATCTCAGATTCTCTGTGAAGGCTCAAAGGACCAGAGTTGGAAGGGACCAGAGAGAAACTAACGACTTCATTTTAAATCAATTAATCAACATGCAATTATCAAAATTGCCCACTATACGCCAGGCACTAGGAATACAAAGATAAAACAGTCCCTGACTTCAAGGAGCTTAAATTTCTTTGAGGGATACATGTACATATATGTGTGTATATACAGGACATATGCAAAATAGAATATAGGTATGTGTGTAAACACAGAATTTGAGAGTTAAAAGGGACTTTAACAGTCATCTCGGTCCAACCCATACACAAAAAGAATCCTGTTATAACATCTCCAACAAGTAGTCATCTGGCCTCTACTTCCAAGGAGGGGAAACCCACCATCTCACAGGGTAGCCCATCTCTACTTTCAGAAAACTTGGATGCTTTTCCTCACATCAAGCCTAAACTTGCCTCTTTCCATGTCCATTGCTCCTGGTTTTACCCTTTGGGGCCCAACAAAGCATATCTTAAATCCCTATTCCACATGACAACCCTTCAGATACTGGAAGGCAGTTACCATGTTGCCCTTGGGCATTCTCCAAGCTAAACATTCTAGTTCCTTCAATCAATCTCCATGTTACAGACTCCAGGCTCTTCACCATCCTAGTTGTCCTCTTCTGTCAACCTTACTCTTGAATAAAACACCCAGAACTGGACACAAATGACCTAAAGAAGGTCAGGAGACACTGGGAACACCCTCTTCCTGAAAGCTGTGCACCTCTTAATGCAGCACAAGATCTCATTCCTTTTTTTTTTTTTTGGTCCACCTGACATTGCTGATCAATATCGAGCTTGCAGTCCACTAAGACTTTTTTCAGAACTGTCTGTTCTTGCTATCACTACCCTCTGGCCTCTAAAACCTCCATTTAAGGAGAGGGTTCAGCACAGGCATCTCTTCATTTCCCACATGGTTACACTACTTCTCCATCCTGCCAAGAATATGGGCCATCTCTTTTCTACTCCTGCTTTTTAGCTTCCTTTTTTATGTGGTCTTCCATCATTAGATTATACGCCACTTGAAGGAAGGGGCTATCTTTCTTTTTATGTATTTGTATCTCCAGCTTAGTGCTTAGAACACAATAATTTTGATTGTAATGTCTAATCTTTATTCCTTGATCTTTTCCACAGGAGTATGAAAAACTTAAATAAAATTTTTTTAGTAAAATCTAGCTAAAGTTTATCCACAGCGTTCTCCTCGATTACTAGCTAAATAATCCCATCAAAACAGAAATGAGATTGGTACATTCCAGGCACAAGGGACATCTGTGAAAAGGCTTCAATTTTTATTGTTATAGCAGGCAACAAATTAGAAAGTGAGAACTTTTTTCAAAAGAAGATTACAGCATCTCAGAGGTGACAATGAATAATTATAGATGCTATAGACTAGCAAAGAGCCAATGGAATCAATAACTGATGTCTAGAGCCATCCAGCAAAAAGATAATGACCTAACATTTGTACATGAAAGTGAATTATTAAATAACTAAACAATGTTTAATACACTTTTAAATTTAATAAGGCAGTAGACTGAGAGGAGGTATTGCCTAATACATAGATTGCTGGCCTTGGGGTAAGAAGACCTGAGTTCAAGACCTGCCTTTGACACATACTGGCTGAGTGACCCTGGTAATATCCCTTCACTTCCCAGTGCCTCAGGTATCTCCTGAAAACTATTAGTTGCAAAGCAAATGCTGACCTGCATCTATGAAATCACAGATTTAAAAAAATAAAGTGAGGACCTGATAGTGTACTACTATACCTAGACAAGGTATGAGAGAAATCCGGGTAAGGATAGAAAGGCTTGACCTCAATAATTACACATGCAAAAGGCAAAAAAATACAGGCTTATGTATCTCACCGAGTTTGCAGACTTTTTACTTTTGAACTTGTATTACTCCCCGCCCCTTGAGTCCTAAGAATCTCTCCTGTGTTTCCCTCATTAAAGCAAATGCCTTGGATTCCCCACATACAGTCTCCAAGGTTGGCACTGATGGCCATCGGGAAACTAACCCTCTCCTAAATGGAAAAGTCATGGACTTCACCTTGAAATATGAGTCTTGAGGCTGAAACAAAGCCTCCTTTCCCAATGTGATGCTTGGATAGGAATTACATGTGATCCTTCGGACTTAGGAAACAGGGCCAAGGAGCAAGTAATGGAACCCTTAGTGAATCCAGGGTGAATATGGTTCCATATGTAACACTTCCTAATCTGCTCATGATCAGAAAAGGCTAAAGTCTGGATTGTAATTCTACCCTTACATTAAAAAACAAACAATCACATTACCCTCTCTATGTCAAGAGGTTATCAGTTAGGACTGTAACTGAGCTCCCTGTCTACCTAACACAAGAGGGCTTTTTCCCTAACCAGTGACCTACTTGTTTCCCTAGTAAACAAGCACCCTGCGGTTCTTGCCATTTACAGAAGTTATGGTTTAAACTCCAACAGTATTCTCCTCATACCAGCAGAGGGAGCCCTGATCCACTTCCTGAGCTCTGAGATTGCTCAATTAAATCTTTCAAAGATTCCCCGGGAGGGATGTAAGTCTCATCCTGTTCCAGTCCGATGCTGTAATGAGGTCTAGCTTCTTGTCTTTTATACCTAAAGATGGAAAGAGGAGATTTAGCTGCCTGAGTACAGTAACAGGCTAAAAAAAAAAAAACCACTGCATAGAAAACGATTCACCAAGTTCACTCTGACACAAATCATTGACTCCCACAGTAGTCAACACAATGAACTACAATTATTCCAACAGAAATAATTTTATATTTATTAACCAATCTCCATCGTTACATTTTTCTCTTTTCCCATAGTTCCTGAACTTACTTCATTATCTCCTATCAATATTTTACATCAATATTATCAATATTTATAGTTCCTGAATCATACTTCAATGTGTTTACTGTGAGATTTAAAGAATCATTACTAAAGAGAACTGATGTTTTGACTAGTTTCACCACTCATTCCCTGTACTATTTTACTGTATACCACTATATTATTTATATTTTAAAATATATATAATATATATTACACTGTATACCACTGAATTCTTTGAAAGTTTACACTCTACTCATTATTATACCAATCCATTTGTTAGATAACCTTATTTTCATATTGAGGGTAGCAGAAGAGATCATACAGAGATCTAGAAACTGAAATGGGCCAACCTCTTCTTTTAGAAATAAGCAAACTGAGGCCCTGGGAAATGAAATGCCTTGCCCAAGGTTACTCAGTGTCACAGGCACTGATTCTAAGTCGCCTGATTTTAAAGCTGGGGCTATTTTTGTTCTTCCAAAACAACTTCCTTCTCAAATGCCATCCAGTCCAATGGGTGCCCGAAGAATTCCCTTTTCTAATACTCATGATGAGTGTTGATGGAACTTTCACTAGGTGAAAGTCTCCAAGGTTGCAAACCTCCAGTAAAGTACAACCACGATGTCCCAAGGAAGCCCATTCCAGTTGGGGACAGTTGTGAAAATAATTATTAGAAAGCTTTTCCTTGTATCAGATCTAAATTGGCCTCGTTGTACCTTTTGTTAATAGCTGCCAGTTCTAACCTCTGGGACCAAGTGGAGAAAGTCTAATCTCCTTTCTTCAATTGTCACTCAAATACTTGAAGGCAGTTAAATTATCATTTAGTTTTTTTTTTCCACAGACAAATGCAGAAATTTTTAAAATGGTAAGATGGACAAAAGGCATTAATTAAATCTGCAATTAAGCTTTAAAAATGCATTTCACCTATAATTTAATTTTCTTTTATTCCAAATCTTTTACCACAGATAATAATAAACAGACGAATTAAATTACTTGAATTGCAATTTTTTATTCTTTAGAAGACTAGGGTGGCTGGTCTTCTTAATGAGAATGTTAGGCTGAAGGCAAGTAGTAGGTACAATAAAATGCCTTGACAAGTTATCAACTGCCTTATCTATTAAATTTTAATAAAATTATTTTGATCTTATAAATTATATTTTAGTATTCAGTAAAACTTTTCCAAAAAAATTCTTCAAATATATGGGGGTAGTGGGGGAACAAATCTCACCTTTTTTCTTACAAGGACAAAAGTTGAATCCACTAACTAAGCTATGGTACCCCAAAGGCCTACAGCAGTTCAAACATGTATGTCAAACCTTCCTGTATGAAATAATATCTACAAAATAACTATGCAATTTCAACATCTTCAGCAGTGCAAGTACTTAGAGCTTCCATTTACCTCACCATTGGGGCTGATATTAATAAATGGCAATAGGTTTCAGCTTTGTTTTTTTTTTTTTTTAAGAAAAATACACTTAAAAGTTTCTATGTGCCTAGAAATGAGGTATATATTTGGATTTTTTCCAGGCAGTAAATGTGCAAATGAAACCTTACCTTATCCAAACACCTAGAGTATTGGCATTTGGAAGCTACCTCCTACACAGAAGGGTTCTACCTACATGTTAGAGACTTACCTGAAATAACAGAATAGTATTATAAGGATCAGAAGGAAGCTACAGACTGTCACAGATATCAGTATGGCCTTATGGTGTATGGCTCCATCAACAAATTCTGAAATTTAAAAAAAAATGAGTCATAACACGGAGATGCCTTTAGCTCCAAGTTCAAAGGCAGATACTCTCTAAAAACTGATTTTTTGGCAAGTTGTGAAAAGTTCTCTCAGTCTTTGATTTCAAACACAGTAAAAACAATCCTTTGCCCCTCTTCCCTGGGGGAGTTAATTCCTTCATTTTCATATCTCCGACATGGGGGTGAACTGTCCTAACTGGTGAGTGAGTGAATGCAAGTGAATGCCTACCCACTAAATCTAGCCAGCCCCACATTCTGTTCACATCTGCTCTCTTCAGGGAATTGTGGTGCTTTTGTCTCTAATCACCAAGAACATAATTGAAAAACTTCAAACTGAAAAGGGAATGGGGGGCAGGAGGGGCGGAAAACCAAAAAAAAAAATTTAAGAATACAGGTTGTAATATACTACACTAAAGGCCAAAGTGCCACACCAAAGAATTACAAAAGCATGGTCAACAATTAGTCATTAACCTTCAACAGGTATCTATTAGTTGTAATGTGGCAGGCATTGGGCTAAGTGGTGAGATACAAATAAAATAACGATGAAATAGTCCCTGCCTTTGAGAAGCTAATATTCTACTGGAAGAGATACCCCCTCACACACAAACATATATACAAAATGTATATAAAATAAGTACAAGGTAATTTTAAGTGGGGAAGGCACCAGCATCTGAGGAGATAAGAAAATGTTTCAGGTAGAAGGTTAATGTTTGAATTAAGTTTTGAAGAAGACAAAAGATTCTAAGAAGATAAGGTAACAATGGACAGCATTCTAGGAATGAGGGAGAACCAGTACAAAGACGATGGTGTTGTGTGTCAGGAACAGCGAAAAGGTTAATTTGTTTGCACAGCAGAGGGTGAAAAGAGTTATTAAGCCAAGGTTGCGAAGTACTTTAAAAGGTAAACAGCGATTTCTAACAACTTCATTCAGCAGCACATCAATTTTAGGTGGTTTTGATCCCCCCCCCCAAAAAAACCGTTGGCCCCTCTATAGCACAGGCCACCTCTTTTACAAATATTTTGATCCCACCACCTCCTGTTTTCCTTAGCAGAATGGCTTTTCTCATTCTACCCACCTTTTTAATCTCCTACTATCCTGTGTCTATGAACACAGCGAATATCTGACCAAAAAAACTCAATAACCTCATCAGATCCCACCATTCTTGCTAGCTATTGTCTTGTATCTCTCCTTTTCTCGGCCAAACTAATTGAAAAAGCTATCTACACTAGGAGGCTTCACTTCCTTTCTTCTGAATCTCCTCTGAACTCCCTGTAACCAGCCTTCTGACATAATTCAACTGTAAGCACGCTCTTCAAAGTTCACAATAATCTCTTAATCACCAAATCTAATAACTGTTTCTCAATCCTCATCCTTCTTGACCTCTCTGTAATATCTGATATATCAGTCCATCCTCTCCTACTGGATTCACTTCTCTCCACTCACATATCCATCATCCTAATTTAGAACCTCATCACCTCCCACCTCAACTATTACAACTGCATCCTACTTGGTATCCTCACTGCAATTTCCTATCCATTCTAATCTTCCACATAGCCATTAAACTGATTTTCCTAAAGTGTAGGTCTGACCATATCACCTTCCCTCCCTAATAAACTTCAGTGGTTCCATACTACATCTAAGATCAAATATTAACTCCTGTGTTTGACATTTAAAGCTCTTCAAAATTTAGCCCCTTCCTACTTTTCCAGTTTTTTTTTTAATATTACTTTCCTCTACAGACATTATAGTCTAGCCCCAGAGGTGGGGCCACATGCGGCCTTCTAGGTCCTTAGGTGCGGCCTTTTGACTGAGTCCAAGTTTTACAGAACAAATCCTTTTATTAGGGAGATTTGTTCTGTGAAGTTTGGATTCAGTCAAAGGGCGACACTTGAGGACCTAGAGGGCTACATGTGGCCTTGAGGCTGCAAGTTCCCTACCCTTGGTCTAGCCAAAAAGGGTTGTTTGCTATTTCATACCCAAGATAAGACCTTTTCCATGTCTATGCCTTTACATAGTCTTTTCTCCAAAGCTTGAAATATACTTCTACTCCACCTTCACCTCTTCAAATCCTTTATTTCTTTCAAGATTCAGTTCAAACACTGCCTTCTATGTAAAGCCTTTCAAAACCACCAGTTTTCCTCCAGGTGCTAGTGCCTCCCCTGGAAGTCAAGTCATAGGCATTTTATTCAGCCTCTTCTATGCGTCCTTGCATTGTTCTAAGCCCTGAGGACACAAAGAAAGACAAAAAGAAAGAACCACCTTTCCTTGTTCTCACGGAGCTCACTATGAAATGGAGAAGACAATCTGCAAACAACTATGTAAAAAAAGACCTAAAAAGTTATAGTATATGATTGTGATGTGCTACAAGAAACGATAAGCACTCAGTGATCTTAGAAAAAACACGGATAGACTTGTATGAAATAATGAAGAGCAAAATGAGCTGAACCAAGAGAACGTTTTATACAGTAACAACAATATTATTTTAATAACAACTCTGAGTGAATAAGTCATTTTGACTATTATAACTACCTAAATTAATTACAAAGTACATATAGGAAAATGCTATCTGCATCCAGAAAAACAACTGATAAATAGATGTTCAGAATGATTTCACACACACACAAACACACACACACACACACACACACACACACACACACACACACACACACACTTGTGTCTAATGGTAGCCATCTCTAGGATGGGGAGGGAAGGAAAAAATTTAAAAAAGAAATTTACACAATAACTATTATATATTTCAAAGGAATCGTAAACTATACATAACAGATTTGCAATTTCATGTGCAATCATTTTTCCTATTCTACTATGTTATGGAAATGCTTGTTTTATCCCATAAATTAAATATAAAAGAAAAAAGGTATTAAGGAATATTAGAATGGTTGGGGTTTTTTTTGTTTTGCTTTGCTTTTGAAGAAGATAGGATTTCAACTTAAACTTGAAGGAAGTCAGGGACTGCAGGACAGAGACAATGAAGGGAGAAAATACCAGGCATGGAGGACAGCCAGTGAAAATGCATGGATGGCATCAGGAGACAGAACATTGTGTGTAAGAAATAGCAAAGTGGCCTCCCCAGCCCCAAACCATTCTGTATATTCTTATATAATTAGTTCCTCTATTAGAAGGTAAGTTCCTAAAGGGCAGCTACTATTTTTTCGTTTGCCTTTGTTTTCCCAGTGCTTAGCACAATGTCTACCAACTAGTTGGTGCTTAATAACTGCTTCTTGCTTGATTGATTTAAATTTTTTTTCTGTGTCATGCTACTACAATGAAATAAGCTATGAATCATTTTTGGGTAAAAACTTGATCGGTCTTTCGTGTTAAGTTTTTCATAATATCAGATTTGCTTAAAAGCAGAATATATCTTGATATTGAATGAATGTGGAGAGAAGATCAGAAGGCCATATACTGTTGGTAGAATGGTGACTGGCCTTAATTTTGAAAGAACTTTACATCCTAAAGCTCTAAGTTTCTTGAAAGAAAAATTTTTTTATGATTTGACCTTGAACCTATCTTGTTTCCCTAGCATATTGCTTAGGTACAAGTCAATGAAAAATAGAGTTGAGGTAAAATGTGACATCATCAGATGAAGTCTGATGCCTAATTTTAAAAGCGATTACCAATAAATTTCACTACAGAGCTATCACAGAGAATTTCACAATGAAGCTAAAGTTATGCTGAAAGAAGCATAAAAAAGGATGTCTATAATCTTAGTCTAGAATTTTATTTTGTTTTTTTTCCCTGTCAAGTACCTCCATATCTATTATGAATAAAGCTCATCTCAAGCCCTCACCTCCTACATGAGGCCTTTCAAGATATCCCTAACATTAGTTGTATTTATTTTGTGTATATATATATATATATATACATATATATATATACACACATACATATATATATTTTACATACTTACACACATTGTCTCTCTCCCCCAACAATATACAATCTCTGTCTTTGTATCTTGAGCTCCTAGTGATATCTTTTACTAACTAATGATATATGTCCGTGGAGGGAAAGAGTCATCTATTACATTAGCTCATCAGTCCCAGGAAGTTTGTGGAAGGAGTTACACTAGCCTACTGCCTGGCACATAGAATGCTGAGTAATGAATGTGTGTTGAATAACTGAAGAAGTTATAGGAAATGTGTATTGGGTAACAGATGTGTGTGTGGACATGTCTAAAAACTATCAGATCAGAATTATTTATGATTAACATATTTGTCATTTGAGCACTAAAAATAATTCAGAGACCCTCATGCTTAAGTAGGCGAAGTTTCTTTTAAAAAATGACTATCTAAAAAACATTTTTCCCCTCACAAAAGTCCAGCAGACCATGATTACATATAGTAAATCACAGGATTCCTAGTTAAGTTTTCATAACGACATTTTTGTCACAAAATTAGCTCATTTTTTTCAATTTCAATTTTTTTGCCCCCCCAAAAAGATTATATGTTTAAACACATTATATGTTTAAAATAGAAATAAGTCAAAAGCACAATTACTTCATATGATCAACACATGGAGGTCACTGCAACAGACTATTAGGAAATGTCTTCTGGAAATCCCCAGGCTTATAGCCTATCAACAATGTAAATGGTGAACAGAGAAAACTGTGAGAGGCCTCTATGCTTCCGCACTCCTCTGATCACATTTCAAATTTATGAGAGCAGTGAGACAAGAAGGCTCCTAAGGGGCTTGGGGTTTACTGTCATTTATTTGAAAAGAAAATTAATAAAAGGCCAAGTTTACATTCCTTGCCCCATCATCCCTATTACTTTCCTTGTCTTCTATCATGAATCAGTGATATCCACCAATACGCTAATATCCACCGATTGTTTCTGCTGGGGACAGCGGTCACGTGTTAATCTACCATTACCTGTTCTTTAGGCATTAACAATGTAAACACTCAAGACACTGGCAGTAGCCTTTGAAAGGAGATACCACTTGATGCCTATCCAGAAAATGACAGGACACATCATTCTTAGTGAGGCAGCATATTTCTCTTACCTTGTCATTCCAACTATGTGGTGAAGTGAAATGGAGAAGCCCCCAGTGAGGTCCCATTCACTATATTAGAGCAGATTTACTAAGGACCTAATGTGGTTTTAGGCCCCAGTAGCAATTCCTCAATGCTGATCTCATGGAAGCCTATCAGTTGTATTTCCCAAAACAAGAACATAATCTATGCCTATTACTTTTTTGTTTCTTCAAATATCAAGTATACTTTATTCCTATTTTACTTTTAATGCATGTGGCAGTTCTCTCTCTGCATTAAGTTCTGGAAATGATCAGTCAGGATCATTTAGTAAAACTCCATCATTTAGTAAAACTCCATCATTTAGTAAAACTCATTTAGTAAAACTCCAATATCTTCAGGATATTGTTTCCCTATCACCAACATAGCCAAAGAATTGAGGCTGTGATAAGCAGATTCATGTTCTGCATAAAGTGGAGATAAAAATATATATCTTGCTTGTACTCCGTTAAATTAAACAAGCAATTTAAAAATGTACAGAATGGAAATTCAAGATTTCATATGCCATTCAATTCTTCATACATGTATATGTGTACACACAAACACACACACATATACACATAGACACACATATGTACATACACTTACATACATACACACATATACTAGAATGTTCGCATTTGTTGATGATTGCCAATTTCATAGTAAAAAAGAAAAATTAAAAACAAAAGAAGTAAAAGGTAAACACACTGAATTCTTCAAACCCTTTTCACATAGATATTCTGCTTCAGATTCCTGTATGTTTAGAAGCTGGGAAGATCATAATTGGAGATGTTTTCTGGAAAGAAATGTAACTCAGTACTTAATGGAATAAGTATACATCAGGGGCATAACACTGAGACTGGAAGAAGGATTTGGGGACTGATCTTTCAAAGGGAAACAGATGTTACCATATTATTCTTCCATCTGTGTTATAGTAGCCATGGCAAGAGTATATGAGGAGAGAGTTTGTTTAAGCCATTACTTGAAGACTTTCACTTGTCATTGGGAATATTTTTATTTTGCTTTAGGTAACAGTTTTAATAGATACAGGTATGAAGTTAAGCTTTAAAAATACCTATTTTGAAAAATGTGGATATTAAGGAAGAGAAAGCATAAGAATTATTTTCCTGAATGTCTATACTTAGAGGGTAAGTGCTTTGTCCAAGTTCACACAGCCAGGATCCATCTATGGGACATATGCTGTAACACAGTGGGACCATCACCCAGGATCTCCCAGCTCCCTACCCATTCTTCCACACTACCTTTGCAAAGAACATTAAAAAATGGTCATCTCTATATTTAAACTCTTATCTGGATGTTTCTAATAATCACTTAGTTGGAGAGATCAGCACACTCTGTACAAATGAATTAGGGAAAATAGGTAGGAAATGGAGGCTAGGAATCTTTCAAATGGTTCTCACATCTTCCTCCTAATCTTCACCCATCATGTCTTTAAATTGTTTTGTAAGAATGAGCATTTTTCATAAATTAATATGTGAAAGCAAAAGTAAATGATTTTGGAGAATGAATTTTCTCACAATTCCAGCAAACCATTGTGTTTCCCCCAAAATTTCTAGGAAATAATGATCTTATCTTGGTGAAACAGTCAATGCTGAAATCTGAGTCTAGAAGGCTCAGTATACACATCCAACTGCAGTGTTCATCCAATATTTTGCTTGGTCATTCATTACTGATGATACAATGAGAAGTCGGACTAAATCAGAATGGACATCTTTGTCCTTTCCTATCTACTGCAACATCACTTAGCTTTCTAACCACATCATTTCTTGGTTATAGTAAAAGCGTCACGTTTGATTTAATGATTGTTATTCTTTCCTCAATTTTCCAGAAGGATTAGATATTATAAATTCCCCATAGGATCTGACTGATTCTCTTCAAATAAAAGGCATTTTCTTCAGAGACCTCTCTTCTCCACAGATGATTAAAGACTTGTTCATACCTAGTTTACACCTACTAAAGGAGAGCCAGCCGTTCATACCTAATTTGTGCCTTTGAATAATTATGTATCTTAATCAAAGAGATTTATCACTTGGTAAAGGTGTTAGAGAATAAAGCATTTTGTAAATTAAATTAATTGGGATTAAGAGGTGTAGAGCACTTCTCTTACCTAGACATCTGCCTTATCCCTAAACTACAATTTAATTCAAAAACCTCTGAGAGGTTTTTCAAAGAGAAGAGCACTCCCTGCTTGATAGTGCTGGATACCTAATTGTGCTCAAAATTATTGATCAGACACCTTCCCCTCATTTAAAAAAAAAAAAGGTAATTACTGTCCTGAGACAGAAAATCAGTTGGGAAGCTACTTTTGTCTCATTACCACCTCTCTGAATTAAATTTTACCTCAATTTTGGAGAGGTTGTGGCAAAACAGGTACCCTCAGATTCAATTATGGTAAAACTATAAGCTTGTAAAATATTTTCAGAGAACAGTATGACAGCAAAAGTTATAAAAATAAATTACATTGGACTTGAGCTGGCTAGCTTTAGAGAGGGCTCTCAACAGCCAGGACAGCGTAATTTCAGGGTGGCATTCTCAAAGCTAAGTGGCTTTGCTTCTTCTGTGTACGCTCTATGAAGGTCCATTTCAGGGGTTATAATAGCAGCACCAGCAAAGTCAATATGGCATGGTGGGAAGATGGCTGGGAAGAAGCATGATGGAGGTCTGCAGCTGTCCAAAATATATGTGCAATAATAATATTATAATGCTTATGTATTAAAAGTCTACAAATATAATACTTAAATGTAATAGAACAATTTATTAAAATCAGATAATTTCCACTTGAGGACAATTCTTATATGCACAGAATCTCAAAGCTGGAAGGTGTTTCAAAGGCCATCTAATCCGAACTTAATACTCGAAAAAAAAATCCATTGGCAACCCAGCTAAAAGCGGTCATTCATTCAGCCTTTGCTTGAAGACCACCAGGGAGGGGAAACCACTACCTCCCCCAATGGTGCTCATTCTATTTTGGGGATTACTCTAAATATTAGGGAGAATTTTTCCCCATATTTAAGAGGAATGCCCCACACTCATAACTCTGTAATTACTGAAAGCACAAACTTCTTGACTAAATCAATCAGAGGCATGAACCAGGCTGACTAGGGCTTACAGCCTTCACTGAATCAAGCAACCAAGTAATCAAAGGCTTTACTGTGAAAATCCCTTGATCAATGACTCAAACCTGAGAGTGTGCTGAAAGTGGCCAGGAAGACCTGGCCACACACCCTTTAGACTCTGTATAAAACATCAAACCTATTTCTAACCCAGAGATTTGAGAATCTAGTAAAAGACAGGAAAACAAATAGGGACTTCAACAGCTGAATTGGACAGAATTGGAAGCAGAAGGCAAGGTGAAAAGAAAAAGTAGAAGTGAGCTGTGGCAAAGAAAGGCGAGACTGAGAAGGGACACTGGCCGTATAGACACCTCAAAGCGGAGGGCTCAGACTGAAATCACCAGTTGTGTCTACCTCTTCAAACACTTAGGGAAGTTTCTAGAAAATGGCAGCTTTCCCCTCCCCCCACCGTCTCCTTTTGGTACTTGTCTATTAAGAGACACTATACCATACTCTACTTGCTTCTTTACCTAAATATTATTGGTAATCTTAATGTTCTCTCAACCAAAAAGAGGACAAAGATTAAGGGCAATATGGGTGGAGAAGGATAATGCCAGACTACTGTCATTTTCCTCTTGTAATACAGGAGAGAGTAAAACAAGCTTAGAAAGTAAGTTGTCTAAACAAAGTCATCCCAAATTACTTAAGGATGAACCTGGAATGAAGGCAACAAATAGAAGAAAGATGGAAGAAATCAGCGATTTCCCTTCCCCCAAACTCATTTCCCTATGTATCATTATTGCCTAAGATGGATTTACAGAAGTAGAAATGGTATAAAAAGGAATAAAGATTTGAAAAGCACAAGATTAGAACAAGTATACAATAAAGGAGAGCTATGCTATAGGCGAAACAATTGTGAGAGCACTGAAGAATTAATTCACATAATGTCTGGCAAAAGAGTAAAAAAAAAATCTTGGACTTTAATACTACATCCCTCCCACACACTAAAAAAAAATGTTGTTCAGTCATTCAGGTGTGTCTGATTCTTCATGACCTCATGGACTATAGCAACACTAGGCTCTTCCATTCTCCACTCTCTCGAAATGTCCACATCCTATAAGCTTCTGAAATCTTGGTGGAGGAATAAAGAAAGTAAGCTTGGAGAAATGGGAAAAGCCAGAGTGATATACAAGTAAAAGAAGTTTTTTATAAGTTATTACATGCCTGCCTGCATGACAATCCTTTTACCACTTCACTTTTCTGTCTCCTACTTACGGCAATGTGACAAAGTTCTGGGCACATTAACATCTAAGGGGATTTCTTATTATTGTTTTGGATATAGTTTTTTCCCTTTTTTTTTTTTGGCTAGGCAATGGGGTTAAGTGACTTGCCCAAGGTCACACAGCTAGTAAGTGTTATGTGTCTGAGGCCAGATTTGAACTCAGGTCCTCCTGACTCCAGGGCCAATGATCTATCCACTGCACCACTTAGCTGCCCCCTTGGATATAGTTTTTGAGCACAGTTCAGGCTCTATCTTTCTTCACTCTTACCTCGATTTTTCAATGGAGGCAGTGTAGGATGAAGGTCTTTATTGCATTCATTCCGTTCTGTGCAACATTCAATTGACCTCCTCTGGTGAGGAATAGGAGTGTCCTATAATAGAATCCAAATATAGATGCAAATATGAATTAATATTTTCCTCTAAAATTCAAGAAGGACCTTTAATTTCCAACTTGAGTGCATCCTTTTTGTTATTTATTTATTATGCAAATATATCCATTGGATCTGGGATTATGATAATCCTTTTTAAAGTAAAAACAACTGTAGTTCCTATTAGAGACCATCATGCAATGATCTGGGAAAGTTTTCACATTTTATTTCAGGGGTTAATATGTTATTTTATTTACAATCTATTTTGAATGACTAGACTTACTTTGAATCACCTAACTTACCTAGTGGAATCTTCAGGAGAAATTTTGGCAGAATACATTTACCCAAAACAGAATATAAACAAGAAAAATGAATGAGTGAATAGACAAGGGTTTCATTCTACTGAAAGTAATAGGAATATCTATTTGTAAAAGCAGAAAATAACTGAGAAAGCCCAGGGATTTCTAACCATTTTGTTTTTACATTATTAGCAGATGAGATTTTCTTACTTCTTTTGCTTGTAATTTGGCTGATTAAATCACAGGTCTAGTAAAAAAAAAAATAATAAACCAAGTAGAATCAAATTTATTTCCTTACCCGGCACTGAAAGTCTGAGCCCTCTAATCCTAGACATCCTGAAGTGACCACAGGCATCCCAGAATCATCTTCTTCTATCATAGTGAAACAGTAGCCATCTGTGCTAAAGATCAGAAAGGAAAAAAAAATAAACGTGTATGTGTACATCAGCTTGATCTTGTGTTGGGGAAGAGGCAAAGAAATGTTTCTGACATTTCCCTTCAAAACACGATCATTGCATTGTACCAAGGAAGCATAGCCTCATCTATCTATCACAAGAGCATATAACAATTACTTTTTTTTTCTCTCTCTCTCTCTCTCCCCCACCCCAACACACACACACAGACTCATTGTGACCACTTTCAGGTTTCTTGGCAAATATAATGGAGTAGTTTACTATTTCCTTCTGCAGATCATTTCACAGATGAAGAAATTGATGCGAACGGGGTTAAGTGACTTGCCTAGGTTCACACACCTAGGAAGTGTCTGAGGTCAGATTTGAACCCAGGTAGAGGAATCATCCTGATTCCAGGCCTAGTCTTGTAATCCCCTGCACCACCAAGCTGCTCTCACCAGAGGGGAGGAGATGAGGATAGACGAGAGACAATGATGGGCAAAAGACAACATATAACCAGTGTCCTCCTAGGAATGAAAGGGAGAAGAAAGAGCACTGTTTGTGTTTATTTATAAACATCGAATTTCTTGTCCTTTGGAAATACAGAAGACAAATACATATAATACAAAACACGTGGGATTTTACAACAAAAAAGCAGCACTGTTATGTTCTGTAAAATATAAAGCTTTATCCATTCCATCTTTTACATGCACATGCAGTGCCCAAAGATGGCATCGTGGCAGAGACTTGAAAGCTTGGTGTTACAGAAAGGAAATTGTGAAACGCTATTAGCTATGATTTGTCTTTTTTCATATTACCGATAGCGACGTTCTGTTGTTCATTAGCCCTTGAGTTACCATCAACAAGCTTTATAATTGTTTACTTGGCTCGCAAACCTAAAGTGATCTGTAATACCTCAGTTTATAAGTACTGAAACAGCAGAGTTCAAACATCTTAACAGATGGCTCAGTGGTGCCAGTGATAAATGTCTTTGCTAAAAACCAAGGTCAAATTCATGAAGATTGTTGGGAAGAACAATTGTCTCTGCTTGCAGCCTATAATACAAATTCTTTTGGGGGCTTCCATGATGATTCAACCTGATTTCTGTGTAAATATGGAAGCCATAAAGATTAAAGAATGCAAGAAAAAAACTGAATCCTATTCATCTGCAACACAGAATAATACAAATAAATGCTACTTTCTGGATTTCCCATTTCTTTTCAAATTATTGAATATTTTCAACTGGGATGGGGGCAACTCAGAGAAGGGATTTATTTTTTCACCAATATATGAAGATCCTAGTGTAGACACTTCCCCCACTTTCAGACTGGCAACACTTCTACCATTTCTAGTTATAAAGATTTGCCTGGGACACTGACCTGTTAAGTGACTTGCTTTAACTAGCTAATATAATTAGAGGAAGACTCAAACTCAGGTCTTCCAGATGCCAAAGTCGTCATCCGTCCACCATATCATGGTGACTCTACAAATTTGCATATGTTACACGATCCCTGAAAGCCACAGCATAATTTGGAGTCAAAGGCAATAAATACGGGAAATAATCAGCCTGATTCTCTGACTTTTAGTTTATAGGGGGGTGAGCAAATATGACTTAATATTTGATTTTAGAAAATACATGTATATAAATATATTTCTTCTGAGAATGTCAGTCCTTCATAATAATTCAGCTTCAAAAAGAATTATAACATTTACCATATTAGAACTTTTAAAATTACAATATTCTAGAAGATATGTAGGATAGGAATAGGGATAGGTCTAGACCAGTAATTTCATTGATACAAGGAATTCTAATACTACTAATGCAGGCCAGCGACTTCTCTATAACTAAATTTTTATGTGTCAGAAGTGGGATTTGAAGTCTTCTTGGCTTTAAGGCTGGCCCACTATCCACTATGCCATAGTGATTCTCTTTATGAAGGTGTAAAGTTGGCAAAATGAAGAACACAAATTATTCTTACTGTTCCCTATAAACTCAAAAAATGGTACTAAGAACTCTGAAAAGCTGAATTTGCCGGTGGCAGAGTTTTGTTTCTTTTTGAAAGATGGAAAGGACACAAGACCCACAATGATTGTTCAATAAATATTTGTTGAATTGAAGACATTTCTTTCCAGTTAATTCTAGCATGAGGCGATCTAGAATCTTTCATGATTTTTTTAATGGATTAAAAATAAATCTGTCTTTGTAAAGGAAATTGGTATGACCTAAAAAGCCCTTCTCTGCTATCCCTCACCATATTTAATATTGAGGAAACAGAGATACCTGCCCCAAAGCAAAGAGACAGTTTTTGTACTTTTAGACTTGGTTATGCTACCTAATCATAAGTGTATGATACAATGATGTTTTGAAATTCAATTCAACTGACCTAAAATGCAAGAATAAAACTACATATTTACTGTGAAAGTTTAAATGTTAAAATAGCATAACAAAAATAGCACAGTGCATATCCGTGCGAGTGGTTATCCACAATAAAACATCCTGCTAGGCTATGCTACAGATAAACTGTTGAACCAGCACATAAGGCAGAAACTACAAGCAGAGGCCCTATATTCTGCTTCCTACAAAACAAGATATCATCTTGCTAAAGCATGAGATCTGTTGATGAAAACACAAAAACCACAAGACCTTACTTTTGGAAAGACGCTACTACAATTAAAAAACTACAGGAGTGAAATGGTGATTTGAACCAAGACCTTTAATAAATGTCAGAAATAGAAATCCAGGATCCAAAACCCCTGCAGCTGTTCAAGCAGATGTCTTTGTTGGCATAAGGCCAATTCTCATGAAAGATGCTATACCTATCCTACTGGTTTCACAATGGTTCAAGAGTATCAGTTGTTTCTACTACATTTCAAGGAAATAAAAAAATGACATCAGCATATAACTAAATGTATATATTTTGTTTTTAAATTTATTTTATTTTTTAATTACTTCAAAGGTGATCTATACTCAACTTCCCATTCTGACCTTTTTAATATAATTTATTGTCACAAAAAAATTCATTCTAAGTAAAAGCTTTCACAAATGAAACACACAGATATTTGTGTGTGTAAATACGTATATGTGTGTCTGTCTGTACATACGTATGAGTGTGCATGTATGTACATATTACCTATGTATCTCTATCTATCTCGTCAATGAATAACTTCCAAGATTTAACAGAAGAACACACCATTCTCATACTGTCACTGGCAATAAACAAAAACGGAAGACTAGAATTCAATACTACAAAGAACTGAACGCCAGTGGAACAAATCAGATGGACTGTTAGGATTTCATCACGCAATGAAGGATGTGATAACAAACAAGAACAGTGTGTGTGCCTTTAAAGAATCTGAGACCTTGTGTCATGAACACCTGTTTGGAAACTCACAACACCACACTCAACAGGAGGATTAAAATTTCAGCAGGTTCAGGGTTAACATAACCTTTGCAAGGACTCTTATGAAATCCTTTCAACTTTGCCACCTGTGACTCTTTAAGTTATTCAGCTTCCAATTCTTTATATGCTAATTATTGCTGATTTCATATATATAAATCTTGCGCATGAATCACCTAAAATGATAAGCATTGATTTACACTTCTAAGACTCAAAAATCAATTAAATTCAAGAATTCTTGATCAGATACTAAGTGAGTATTCAGCTCTCTGAAATGAAGACTTAAAGAAAGAATTCTCAGGGCTCAGTTTTTGGTTAGCTACCCAGATATTAAAAAACTATAATTTTATATAAAACCTCCTTCTTAAATCCTATAGCTGAAGGCAATTTCTCTAATTTGTTCTCAGATCCAAATAATACCACCTTGTAAATTACATAAGATAAAAACTGCCCAAATATTCTAGTAATTATGAATTCACAGAATTTGTTTGCAAGGAGCACATGTGTGGCCATTCTTGATTTTTCCCCACTAACAGCTTTTCAAAGTTCCCCCTTCATTAATGTTCTCCTCTGACGTCTTATCTCAGAGAGAGAGCGACTCTGGGGTTGCCAATGTATTTAAGCTCTGGCAGCTCTCACCAACCTGGCAGTATGGGTCAGGTGGTAGTCTGCATGTTGGCCACTGAAGGACTAATCCAAGTTCAGACAGACTCAAATACAAGTTAGTCAGAAGTGACAAATTTTTCAGTCACTGAAATTTCAAAGGGCTGTGATCAGCATTATATGGGTGGTGTATCTACAACAATGAAATCACAGATAGTCAAACTGTTGAAGCATGAATTCTGGAAGTTTTCATATTATATGTGGCCTAATTATTTCCACCAAAGGCTTATTAGAGAGAAGGTCCAGAAATTCAAAAAATGCAAAAGAGTATTGAAAGAGAAAGAAAGGCATGAGAAAGCAGAAATCATGGAAGTCTGGAAGCATAACTGATAGGTAAACAAAATGTAGGAATAAGGACTAGATTTGTCATTGCAATGGTGCTAGGAAGTCCTAGGTGATAAAACCACTCTACCAAAGTAGACACATCTTCTCTTAGAGAAGGTCTCAAAGAGTTGCCTCTTGCATAGAAAGATCGAGTGATTTGCTCAGAATCTCATAACCAGTATTCTTGGTTTTGAGACCAGCTCACTCCACTTATACCTCTACAAGCTAGATATATGGAGGGTGAATATAGCAGGCTATATGACTCCTCCCTTACCACTGCCCAATTACCCTGAATCAAAACCTTGAGAATCACCTTTGACTCTTATTCTTTCCCTAATATCTTACCATGTTATTCCTCCAAAATATCCTTGAATTCAACCTTTCTTCAAGGTTGGTAAGAGGCAGGCCAAGAGTCTTGCGTATGCCCCAAAGGACTTCCTTCTATGCAGGGAATTTACCACTCCCTGTGGCCACCTCATAGCCAGCTTCCTCAAGTGAGAAGACCTCCAACTTTGCACAAAGATGCACAATGCATCTTCCATTTACCACTGGGACCAAGTATGTCCTCAGAGGTAAGGTTGCAAGGGTTCAGACTGGGGATCTTCCATCTGCCCCAACACAAGG